TGCATATGTCACTGGAAAGGACATCAACAACACAAAAAAATGAAAACAATTTTCACATTTTATGTGAAAGAGAGAATGAAGATTAAAACACCTTAGAGTATACTGTTCCTCAAAAACACACTGTTTTGCCCTGAAATCTCCCTGATATAAATCAATGATTTGAACAATCAGTGGAATTATTCCCAACGCTGAGATGAGAGTTTGACTTTTTTCTTTAAAACAGATGCAATCTTCTGATTGCCCTGCTCAAATAAAATTAGAGTTTTTCAGTCACCTTCTGTCCACTCCCTTTAAAAACAAATAGCTCTGCTGTTGTACAAACACTACTTATGTGTTTCTTGATACAAATGAACACAAACCACAGGCCAATAGTTCAGTCACAACTAGTAATACAAAATCTCAGTAAAAAGGTAAAGAAGACTGTTTAGAATATCATGAAATACTACAACTGTGAATCATAGTCTGTCACATGTATAGTTGGTTCACACATATAGTTGTATATGTTAGTTCTGCTGGGGCCATTTCAACTTTCCAGAAATAAAATTAAAACAAAGAAAAAAATAAACTTCTTTAAGTCCAGAACAAACAAATGGAAGTGGGGAACCTGTAACGCAAAAACATCACCATGGCAGCTTTGCATAGTGATAGTTTGCAAGTTTCTTTCCCTTTGGGTATGGCATGCTTCTCACTATAGATCAGACATTCATCTGGCTCTTAAAACAGAAAATGTAATACTGGACAAGTCAGGGTCATTTTCAGTTATGTAAATATGCTGTTTTGCACAACCAACCTACTACAAAGGCTGGGGTTTAACTGGTTATCATTTTGTGTAAGGTAACAAACATCCTTGATTCTGTGACATCAAATATAGTTTAAATTTCTTCTTTGTATCTAGGACAAAACATGAAATGAAGACACCACTTACTATTTCTAACTTCAAAACGGTTTCTGAAAAGCCTCTGTGGTCTTTTAACATGTTTCTGTTGAAACACTTCCTCATCCTCTAAGGAGGTCCTAGCATAATGCCCAGTAGCAATTGCATCTGCTCCTATCAAGGGAAACACAAGCCAAACAAAATACAAAGGCATGTACTTGAAATTCACAGTTCAAAACAGGATTGCAAACATCCAGTAAGAAAGGCAGAAAGCAAGGAAAGAAGAAAACCTATAGAGGAGTCTTACATTGACAATAGTCGTACTCCTGCTATTTAAATAATGTAAACTATTCACCAGCATGCCAGTACTTGTGCTTCTGTGCTTTAAGGACCACCTAAGAATGTAAAACTTAATGGTCAGGTCAATGCACGTCCCTGAATTAAATCTGTTCCTACACATGAGCAACCTAATCCAGTGGAAGATGTCCCTGCCTAGGGCTGAGGGATTGGACTAGATGACCTTTAAAGGTCCCTTCCAACCTGAACCATGCTATGATTCTATTTGTAAAAGCAAACCTAAACCAAATTACTTTGCAATTATTGAAATACTGCCACAGAGACATGTGAGTTAGGCATGCACACAAACTCATGTTTTTCCCCACTTTTTAAAGAGTTTGTATCCTGTAAGCGTTTCCAGGGCACGCACTCTGTATTGACACAGTTCAAAATTCCTTACCAAGGTTATCCATAGCATAATGCAGAAAGTAGTTGAATTTGATGTGCTTGTTACACACAATATCAGGATTAGGTGTCCTTCCCAATTCATACTCTTTTAAGAGGTCACTGTAAAATAAAGATTCAAAGTCTATCAACATCATTAATATGCATAATACTATCTGAGACTGGACAATCTGTTTAAACATGAGAAGCTGAGTTCCCATCATACTAAGCATTTTATGTCAGAAATAAAATACCCGTTGGATTTTAACCTGCAAAAAAACAATGCTTGGAAGATTTTCTCCAAAGTGCGCTGAGAACAGGGTCAAATGATCATTTATAATCTTGTGACCTTGCTTTGTTAAATTAATACTCCCTCAGGGCAGATGTGGCTGTCCACTGTGCATATCCCACTCATCTCTTATGAAATACTTACTTTTAGAATTAAATGACCCTATTTAATTCTTCAAAGGGCAATGTGGTGCAGTACACACCAGGAGTTACTGTGTCACAGTGGAACAGACAGTAACTTCATCTGCAATAATGTCATCATAACCAATTAGTCATGGGCCTTAATTTTACATACTTTTTCCTGACCTTTTTCTTTCCTTCCAGAAATTCAAAGTTTCTCAAAGTTATGTTGTAGTTTTACACCGTTGCATAATTAAAGTACTTAGCATTACCTGCTTGAAAACATTGAAATAATAACTAATGCAATTAAACCAGCATACAGCAATGCCCTGAGATACCAAAAGCCTAATCATTGTATTATTTTGCTTGTCCTCAGTAGCCAGTGAAGTCAAGAGGAAATGAGGGCACAGACTGGATTTAAAAGAACAACAGCAATCCTAGTATTCAGTTTTACTTTTCACCACCTGGAATAGAATCAATTGCTTCTTCTTTACCATGTTATACATTACATCAATAAACAGGAAATAAAGTAATGTGTTCTTTATTTTGTCCAACTCCTTTTTCAGAAGTTCTGAATTTGACAACTCATACTAATAATTAAATCATCTGGGTCTACCCAGAGCTGACTCCCTCTTGTTCGCTCAGCACCACACTCTTATGGTACACTGGAAGTTTTATATAGGGCTCAACACAAAGCCAGGTTCACATTAGTTCAGAGCTTCTAGTAAAGCACAGAACTAGAGAAAGGGCAATGGAGGATGCCTACTGGATCTCTCTCTGATGTAAAGATCTGAAAAAGGCTTTGCACAAACCATGGAAAAGACAATAGTTCTGGAATAGTTCTCATGATAAAAGCTGTTTTATGATGATTAACCCTTTAAAGAGAGATCCAGAGGAGTAAGGTTAAGGTCATTGATGACAGTAAAGAAAAAGGATTCTGAAACAAAGAAAGACATTTGTAACAGAATGTTTGAAACACTGTATTAATAAATGGCGGGAAGCAAAAGCAAAGCTGAACTTCTGTGGACTTTGGTTCATTTATGGACACCCCATACACCTCAAGAAGCTTGATAACACTTATTCATTCTCTCACACCGAAAGGGAAAAATCGAGTGAACTTTCTCAGAACAAGGCTGTCCTGTTATTTTCTTCAGACTGCTCAAAGGTTTGGTGCTCAGTTTGATGTCATTTCAACATGCAGTAGAAGTAGCAGGTTATTCCTCAGTAATAACAGTACTACTTAAAGGGGAATGACGAAGATCAGGGAACAACTTCTATGTACTTATGTTCAGTGCATAAAGATCAATTATGCTGTTATACTAATGTGTCCCTTCTTATCCTTTCCCTCACAAAAAACTCTCAGCCTTTCCAATGCAGAACTTCCCCTAAAGTGCAACAAATTCACAGAAAATCTGAGCACTCCCTTTAGAGTCTAAACAATTTCAAATTTGTCATAGTTTAAAGAAGCAAGGCTAGCTCATGATCGTTTTGTGGTAAGCTGGATTCAGTACACATTATGTAAAATGCACTGCCTAAGTTATGCACACAGACAATAATAAATGATAGCACCCTATTAAATGGGGTTTTTTCGGGTTGCAATAAGGTTGGGCCAGTACATGGGTAGCTGAAGACATGAGCTGCAACAAACCAATTGCTACACACGCACAACTAGGGAGAAATCCTCTACTGATTTAAAAAATAACATACTAAAACAAGGATATAAATTCTGACCTAAAAACAAATCAGAGAGAAAATAATTACTCCAATATTTAACAGGCTTCAGGACTTCCTCTTAGCACTGATAATATTGCAGTGCATTGCCATTGCCCATTCTTGCTTTTCATCATAACACAGTACCACACTAATATACTGAAATTATATATCTACTGCAAATGTGTTTCTACCTGAATACTTCATTCCAGTATTCCTTCACGTAGGAAACCTGGTGAAATGGAATATCGAGCTTCTGGCAAACCCGGTAAGCATCCTCGCAATCTCTGTCAATGGAGCAAGCTCCCTGTTCATCCAGGGGGTCCCAGTTCTTCATAAACACGCCTGTCACCTGGTAGCCTATGAAACGAAGGTAAGAATCACTTAAAAAGTTAAATTCTTACAGCCTGGACCCAAAACCTGTGTTTTTCAAGACTTTCTTGACTAACTGCTTCCTTGAGAAGACGCGATTAGCCTGTGCTAAGCAAACATCTTACTAAGCTTTACAGTACAGTTATTGTATGGCTGTGTTCTTTCCTGTAGCTAACAACTAACTTAAACCAAGCTCTTCTGGTAGTCTAATAGGACGATATGTCGTATTAGCACCCGGTTCCCCGCGGTGCCCTGCCCGAGGCGAGGACCGGCCCAGAGGGGACGGGGAGGGGAACCGAGGCCCCCACAGCGCGGCGGGTGCGAGTCGGGGCTCTCCCACCCCCGGACACCCCGCACCTCGGCGGCGCAGCAGCAGCGCGGCCACGGCGCTGTCCACGCCGCCGGACACGGCGCAGGCCACGCGTCGCCCCGCGGCCGCCGCCAGCATCTCCCCCGCCGCCGCCGCTTCCGCCCGCCCGGGCCCGCCCCGACACCGCCGCGCGGGGAACGCGCCTGCGCGCTGGGCGGGGCGGGCACAGGCACCGCCGTGCCCTCAGCGCCGGCTGCGGCAGCGCGAGCGCGGGCCTATCGTGCCCGCACGGTGAGGGAGGAACGTACCCGGCCCAGAGCCGGCGGTTTCCCCGTTCGCTCCTTCACTCAGTGGAAAAAGCCGAAGAGCTCTCTCTGGCCCACAACCCGCCCCACATCAGGCCAACCAGAACCCTCACACACAGGCTCCCACTGCCCCTGAGCCCCAGGACCCAGCCCACTGAATGGGATAAAGGAAGACCCAGAAGAAAACATTACATCTCTCTTTGACTGCTTGATGTCCAATATCACTGTATAAGCCAAAGTTCATTGCAGCTGGCTACAGCCAATACTACAGAGCAGCTCTACCACCATTCATCTGCACAGGCAGACCTGTGCTAACCACGCTCCTGCTGTTTGAGCAACTGATTCGTACCTTGAAGATTGGAATTTGGCTCTTATATGAAGACACATCAGCGTGTTAACTCAGTGTTTGAGCCTCTGTGAAGAGTTGGGTTAGTCCAGAGAGGTGGTGAACCCTGGAAGTATTCAGCCAGCCAAGCGACCCCCTTGCTACCCAAGTTTCAGCTGGCAGAGGACTCATGGCATTCGTAAATTGTCATGGCCACACTCAAAAACAGGATTTACGGCTGCTGCCCACAAAACCATACATACACAAAAATGTAGTTCTCCATGGGTACAGAGTGCTTGACTCTCCTGCAAGTCCTTGAAATTTAGGGCATAAACCCATTTACCTCTTTTCAAAAAATAAATCACATCACTTATTTTAAAAAATTGTGGGTTTTTTCTTACTTCTCCCTCTGATTGAGTTTAGAAATATGCAACTAAACTAATTTCTCCCCTCCATTTAAAGACTTGTTCAATTATTGCTTTTAACTGCACAGCACTGTCTCAAATAGTTTTAATAAATGCTCTAGTTGAAAAAGCTCTCTTGCTCATCACAGAAGGAAAGCAAGAATAACCAAAGCAAGTATACAAATTCCATATTTTTATGGTTCCTACTTGGCAGGAGCAGGTAAGCATGGTTGTTTCATCTAAGAATCTTCAACATCTCACCAAAGGCCTTCATTGAGAACAGACTCTGACACCGCAGTAGCCCCTGAACAGGCAGATGTGTCGAGGGAGGCAAGTGCCTTCAGATAAAGCCAAGGCAGATGACTTTTTCAGCATCAAAATGTTTGACAAACTCTTCTGAACACCTCTTCCTACTTAAATCCTTTGTCTCCAATTTCCACTTCTTGAATTAATACCAACAACTGGTATTAATTGTCAAGAGATTTCCATCTTCTGACAAACTTTCATAAATATATTAAAGCTAGTATATACACAGCAGAAGTCTCTAGTCTGCAAGACAGGCTTGTCACTTCAACATTTATGAGATACTACTGTGTGCATTTTCATTTCTGTTCACTTCCCTGTATGTAAAGTCTCCAGATGTAGTAAATTCAAGTAAGAAAGTATTTTTCTATTCTTTTCAGAATGCGAAAGTTCGTCTAACCTGCAACTATTAAGACTAAACCATTTGGCAGTAACATGCTGTTACTTTCTCCTTTGCATCACAAATTCAGGTGGTGCTGTTGATTTACTTCACTGGCATTCAATAATGAAATGTTTGTTTTCAAACTTGCTACACCACTCTGAAGTCCACTAGGCTTTACCTACACATTAACATTTGTTCGTGAAACACTACAATTGAAGTCTGTAATAAAACACTGCTATTTTGTACAACAGTTTGGTAAACAACTCATTTATTTTAAATTAAAACTTCATTGTACATAGGGGATAAGGAATCAAAGGACAATTGGTAGGAAATAAAGAGACAGGTTTCCAATATTTTGCCTTAGAGCAACATAGTTTAAATATATGCATTGCAGCACATCCACGAACAAAATCGTTATCAGACTCTGACTATATCATGACTACTGGAATTCTACTGTGTTAATGCAGTTCATCAGATAATCTATAGCCATCTTCAAAAAAACCTGTATGAATGAAGAGTAACACCTAAGTAAAGATCACAGTTGCCAAGAATTCTTCATTTCAGTTCAAGTTCAGAACTTGAGTAGAGGGGAATCCAGATTTTCTTTGTTTACATCAGGACTCAGAGTGATAAGAGGCGAACTCAAATCAATTAACTGAAAGAAAAACAATAAAATTTAGCTAGTGTAGTCAGTTTTTGTACATGGCTACCATCAGCTATAATCTCTATTAACAGTCTTCTTGGGCACTTTTTTTTGTTTAGGGTTCCTATTGGAATTCCTATTCAGAATACAAGCACAACAATACAAGCACGACACTCAAGCTTTTATGTTCAGGTTTTTAAACATAAGCTCAGTCCTAGGCAAGCAAAAGGTTCTCACAAGGTGGTTATTGCCCATACTCACCGTAAAAGCCTAAAAGACTTTTCTGAGTTTTACTGCTATGCATATTCAAGTGACATTGCCATCCAAGTCAGGGCAGAGCACTTCTGAACTCCTCTGAACATGCCCCCAGAAGTCAGACTTCTGCAAGCCTCTTCTTTTGACATACTTTGAAGGACTTGATATTAAATTGATCCCAATTACATCTATTGTCAAAGACCACATCCTCATAGTTACCACCATTCATCTCACAATATCTGAAGGCATCTGCCTTCAAGCCACTAATGTACAAAACACACTCGCCCAGAAATGCTTGTGAAATTTAGAGTAGATTCCAACAGACATCTTCCAAATGAAGAGGGGATTAGGAGAGGAGCTAAACAGTAGGGACAACCCTTCTTTTTTGATTAAAATGAGCTGCTGCCAAGAACTGAAGATGTGCAAAAAGAGAGAAACAACAGTAAGCATGCCCACTCTCCTGAAGACAACATTCACTTTCTGCTTCAGAACAGTTTAATTCTATGACAACTGCTTTAAGTGTTAAGTTCTTTCTACATCCTACTCCTTTTCCTATTTGCAGATTGCTCACTGAGCTCTACTTAGGACACATTGTTTGATTTTAAACATTACTTTCTCTTTACTTAGAACACCTTAGTATGTATATCATATTGAACTAATATTAAATAGTTCTTACAGTATTGTGGAGCTGCTCTGCCGACAAGGGTATGCAGCCAGCTGACATTTTTCTGCTAACATATTTGCACCCGAAGATTTATTCAAATCTTACCTTTATCTGCCCAGAGAATACAGGTTTATTCACTTCAGGAGTGTTGGAAAGGTCAATCAGAGGTCTGCTTTCACATTCCAAAGTGTGTGAGAGACATTTGTCTACTCCAATGTCTACCAGTAAGGCCTTTAAAAGAAAAAATAGTTCGGGTTTTCCACTCTATTCACCATGCTTCCTCCATAAACATTGAGGGAGTCAATTTAGCTTATACAGATGTAATAATCACAGGACAGCCTTCATTTACAGCTTGGTTGTTTTTCATGCAGGATTGTTTGCACACAGTGCAAAAACCTTAGCTCTTGCTCTGCCAGCAATGGGGAAAATGCAGTGAGACAAAGAAAAAGAGCTCATTGGGGCATAAATCTGATTTTAAGTGAAAAATTGTTTTAACTCAAATTTAAAACAGAAGATTAATAACTCTTAATATTTAAATGACTTAACTCCAATTATTGTGCAATGTTATTTAGCCATATAAACTGTTCTGTAGAGCTTCACATTTCAGTTATGCTTTTGTCCAGTTTAACTACCCTATACATGTACTGAGCAATTCTCTAACAGATACTTTGTGTCACCAAGTAAGCTAACCAGGAATATACTAATGCAATAACATCAAGTAATCAATCTACAGATTATTCTACACCTGAGTATTTGTAAATCAATAACCACTCTGACAGTTTAATATTTCAGAACTACCAGTTCACGCCTTTCTCCTTAATGCCTGTGGAGTGCCAGCTTTCAACATGAAGCCAGTACATTCCTGAGAGAGGGGAAAAGTGTTCACTGAAAGAATTACTTAACACTTACCTAAGTTTACTGCTATGTGGACTTTGGGGTTTAATTCTCCCTTGTTGTATGCAGATTTGCACTCCTGTTAGGAGACTGAATATAGCTACAGCAGTGTTCGGGGTTATTGGGATTTTTTTATCCCCAAAAGGGCTTTACAGCTGCAACAGGATCTGCCCACTGACACTGTGTTTCTAATCAAATCCACAAGGATTTCACAGTACTTTTTCCAACGTGGAAATTCAATATAAAATCTGCAAGTATTTGACTTTTCAGCTTTGAGATGGAAACATAGTGGAAACACTGAACACATGTTCAGTGTTAAAAATAGGCACTAGAGGGTGCACACAGTTACAGCTAATCCGTTTTAACTTCATGTGTATCAAAGTGGGTTTTCTACTTGAAAATAATAGTTCAAATAATTTGGTTTCAAGCAGTTAACTTCGTTTTGTAGAAAAATGTATTGTCATTTACCTCAGGTTGTTTCTCTTCAGCCAGCTGATTTTGTACTTCAGCCTCTTTTAATTCATTTTCTACTACTTCTGTAGCAGATTTTTCTGGTGAGAAGGTAAGAGCAAGAGGTAACACAGGTGGAGGAGATACATCATCTTCTGAAGAAGATATCTGTGTCTTACTCTCTTCTTTCTGTTTAGAACTAGGGAAAAAGAACATCAGCAATAGTTGAGGTCTTTAATCAACATGAATTACTTAAGCCAATGCCCTAATCTCATTTTCTCCATTTTTTAACCACAAGTTTTAATCATCAAAAAGATTTCCATATTTCAGCCAATAGAATGCTAGTTACCTGCAAAATACAAAATATTTCATGCTGCAATAAGTGTATAGCCTACCCATGCAAAAGAAGAAGAGTTAATGACTTCAGGATGATGAAGAATTTAATCTTAATTGACATATCCATGCAGCCTAAACTTCACACATGCAGTCATTGATATTGCATATCACTGAGCAACCCCTTTCAGCCCCTGCTTGAAAGGAAGTACTGACACCAGCTGGAAGACCAGAGGCTGTAATCTAATTAGTATGATAAAGTCAATGTAGACAGACTAATTGATTCCTTGAGAGAAAAGATATTTGGGACATTTGGCCTAAGTAACATAATACAGAGTTTTCTAGCCATGAATCATTCCTGCTTTAATACAGTTCCTCTGCAGCAGCCACAGAACAAGCCTGCACACATATATATGGTCCTTGTCAGAAGATGCTGAGCTGATAATATGAAAAAGGCAATATTACTCTCACAGAAAACAAATATAATTAACAAAAACACAGGTAAACCTGCTCAGAAACTAACGTTCAGTCAACTAAATCCTTGGCTTTTTGACTGATGCTTTAAAAAAGTGTAATTTTAGAGACCATTGGTAACAGTATAAAACAAAAGTTAAAGTAATATGCATTTCAATCAGCTACTTTCCTTCATCAGAAGGTGATAGCAAAGTAGTACAAACACCAAATCTGCTTTCAGACAGAGCATCAGATACAAGTTTTAGTTGTTCCCTAGCTCAAGAAATACAAATAAATTCCTATTAAAATTATAATTCTTTAATGTTAGATATTGACTCACCTCAGTAAGGCTTACAGCATTTTACTAGTCACAAGATATAAATTTTTATTAGGCCTATACAGCATCTATGCTCAAATGCTTCATTATAAACATTTAGCAGAGGTCCTTGAAACCCAAAAGTCATCATTAAAATTAATTTAGAGGCAGTGTGCCTACAATAGTCATTTAATATATGAGGGATTCTGAATTACCCAGCTGCAAGTGTCTTTTTGGTAGAAAAGCTGAAACTTCGGTGAAGAGATGCAGCATGTGGAGAAAATGCCATTCTTGGTACAGTCTTAGGGGTCGCTGCTGGGAATGCTGAGGTCCGACGGACAGGTGTAGGTAAGCCAGATGGTTTCAGACTGGCAGGAGTCATGGAGGCAGGCCTCTCAGGAAAACAAAAATTCTGAAAGACCTTATCTTCTGAGGCTTTCATAGGAGTGCTGACTGCCATGGCACTAGAAAAGGAACATGCATTAGCCAAAACCTTCTGGAAACAGTTGGAATAAAACTATTCCTCCAAACAATAGAAATCTATTTCCCTTGTCAGTAACAGAACAGCAATCAGCTTAAAGGTGATAATCACAGCATAGTAAGGGCTTTACTTCTTAGAAGTCTTCCATGAATGACTCTAGTCTATTTAGCACTGCTAAGAAAACCGTCAGAGGGTTGTTTGGTTTAGTTGTGGGGTTTAGTTTGTTTTAAATCAGTTCC